GGGGGGCAGGCAGCCAGGTAGATGGATGGATGGATGAATGGATGGAAAATCTCATGCAAATTTGGGGACACAAAATGGAAAGAAGAAAAAACAAACAAACTGAAAAAAATATTTGACTTTGTAAAATGTCTGACAATCATGGCTGCCAAAGAAATAATAATGTTTGAGCACAAAAATGGATTTAAAAGTGGTTTAACCAAACAAAGTTGAAAATAAGTCGCTCATTTCGTGTGCATGCCGCAACTTAACAAGGTAAAAACCTGTTTGATGAACACATCTTAGCAAGGTGGTTTGAAATTTGTGTTCTCAAGATGACTGCAAATTGGAAAACCTAAACCTTATTTAGTTAAACACTTTAATTGCTGTGAATGGCACATGATTTTCCCCATTACACATTATTTTCGGGACAGTGTTTTCCTTTCACGGTTGAGCCATGTGTGGAAAACAAAAAAAATGAGGTCTTGAACGAAAAAAGAGGCCTTTTTTTCGCGTTCTTCGCTTTCTTTCGTTGGAGATTTGTTCGTATTTTAGTGGTTTTAGGCATTGTCGCCTGAACGTAGGACAAAGTTTACTATTTAACTAAAGGAGTCAAGGGTATTTCTTACTGACGGCTCTATTTGTTCTTCAGCTTTCAAAACATCTATCTCTCACAGTATATCCCCAACCCGTGTACACCTAGAATTAAATGCTTTATCACCTGACAGGAGCCCATGAATCACGTCATGGGCTCCTGCGGCTAATTTTCTGGTCGGGAAAAGTGATGACGTGCGAGTGGTATGAAGACCATGGGCCCTCGGCGAGGATTTTGTCAAGTCAGCAGTGGATTGATTAAAATGAACATCATCAGAACAGACACAGACCTTGTTGGTTCTTTTTGTCGACATTGCCAAATTTGTAAGGCCCAGCCTTCAGATAGAACTTTGTTTCCTTGGCTCTGTTGATATCCAGCGAGCGTCTTTTTCGGAAACCACCACCACTCATATCACAATAAATGCAGTCTACATCGCACTGATTGCCAGCCTCATCGGGCAGGCAAACGATAGCCGTGACTTCAAATGTAACCAAGGAAGATCCTGTTTGACCAGTGAAACGGAAAGCCAGGAATTCAACTCGCTCTTCTTCATCGTCGTTACACGTAAGTTCAGTTATTATCGTCGAGTCATCGGAACAGCTGAGTAATAACAAGAAGGGTATTAGTGTACTGAAAAGCCTTTTATTGATGACTCATTTCAAAGTTAAAAGGTTAAGTCTGGATACAAACCAAGTGGTCCATCAGGGCGGAGCTTATCCCGGTTTCTGTAGCATGGAACGACTAAGAGTATTTCTACTCCCCTCTGGATGGAATGCTAGTCCATCGCAGGGTTACCCCCAGCATTAAGTTCGTCGGTATCCACTTATACGCGTTGGCGGTGAGAGACACTGTGTGGGTAAAGTGTCTCGCCCAAGGACACAACACAATAACCCTGGCCAGGGGTCGAGCCCGGACCGCTCGATCCGGAGATGACCGCACTAACCATGAGGCCACCGTGCCTCCCATTTCGAACAGAGGGGCAGAATTTGAGTACTGTGTTGAAACATTATTTTGACTTCAGCCCAGACAGTCCACTATTACTGATATCAAGTTGCAATAATTAGAAGTTATTTAGCTGTAAAATATAGAATATGAAATATCTGGTTCGTTCTTATATTATTGCAAGTGCTCATAACGAATTCGCTAAGATCTTATTTTAGCTGTGGCGAGTCTTTGCTGATGTCATTGTTTACATTTTTCCTCATTGACATACGCCTTTGTACATAAAAGGCATCATGCTAGACACGATTTTACTGGAAAAACTTAAAGAGCTTGTGAAGCTTAGTAAGTGGTGAAATTTTTGGTTCTTTGGGTGTAATATTGGAGGAAAAATTGGCTTTCAAAAACATCAAAATTTCTGCGTGGCAAAAGCGTTAATGAGCTCATATATTCTTTGTAAAATTTTGATCTTTTAAACCCTCGTCGCACAAAAAGTATTCAATACATCGCGCTCAAATTCCTTGGGACAGTTAATCGTGCTGTGCCCTTTCAATATTCAGTATTAATCTCTTTCTAGCTCCATCAGAAACTGTATCGCTTATGGTAATGAGGTAAATATTGTAAACAAAGATTCTCTCAGTTTTAATCCCGCGCACAACTCATTTAGGAACCAAATTTTTCAAAATTCCCCTCGTGAGTAATTTGCCAAAATGCCCCACATTGAACTGAAGAAATAAAAACAATAATTCTTCCCCCTTAGTTCGTTTGACTGCTTGCTGTCTATTTCTCCCTCATGATAACTTGATCCAATTCGTCTTGCAGAATTGTTCTGCGCATGTCCGATATATTGTTCAAATTGTACCCGGAGGGGAAGGTCCGGGATGCTTGTCGCAGAATTTGAATCATTCCATAAAGCAGACGAATGTGGGCGTGGCTCGCACTTTCGACCCCTAAAAGATACCATCTAAACCCGAAGTGACAGTGTCACTNAGACGCCATGCTGGTACCCATCGGTATGGGCACCAACATGGCGGCCGGAAACCAACAGAAACATCTGTCATCCCTGAGTTTTGCTACAAAAGCGTGAATTTACAGGATTGTTCTGCGCATGTCCGATATATCGTTCAGATTGTACCCGGAGGGGAAGGTCCGGGATGCTTGTCGCAAAATTTGAATCATCCCGTAAAGCAGACGAATGTGGGCGTGGCTCTCGCTTTCGACCTCTAAAAGATACCATCTAAACCCGAAGTGACAGCGTCACTCTAAAAGTATTAGCTATTTTTTAGCTGACGAATTTTGTACCGAGCTTAAATAAAGATTATGTATGTACCAACATCCTTGATTTACACCCTTAAGCAAGACGATGATTATCCCCGATCTTTTCATGTGGGAATCCCCCCCTCCCCCGCCAGAGACTTACAATGCCAAAGGGCACAAGGCCAGCTGGGATAGTTTACACTATATTGTTTATTATATGGCTATTCAAAGTCAATTTGGATTGGTTGCCCTACGAATGAATGCAAATATTCATATAAAAAGGCAAACAAGTACTACCCATTGTGCACTCTACTCTAGTCCGCGGCAGCGAACAGTTGGCACCCCACCCGCCCTCCCTGCGAGGAAGCCGGGTTTGAAGCCTGGGCCACCTACCCGGAGATCTTCTGAGCCTGGTTTAGGCTTAATCCAGGCTAGAGCGATTCCCCATACCTTATCTACACGTCATGAATAACAATACCTAGGGCAGAATATTACACATTTCTGATTGATTCCATGAGCTAAATAAAGATAGACCGCTCAGGAATAGTTCGGCAAATTGCTTTTCCAAAACATTGCACAAAAGGAAACAGTTTCAGCAGTTTCTTCTAAAGTAGAAACAGATTATCCTGTATGTCTGAAGAACAATTTAAGTTAAACTTTCGCGAAAGTGACCTGAAAAGTCTAAAAATATGCTTATTTTAACCAGAGAACAGTACTTGAATTTGCATTATACAGATTCTCTTTACTGAAATCCACACACTCTCATCTTACTAGCTGGTAGAATTTGTAAAGACATTTTCCACTGATGTTTATATGGTCTTACATGGTCCCTTATTCTCATGGTACGCATATCTAGTTATATCTGACTTTGTATTGACATGCGAGGTGAAACTAGATTCTTATTACAACAACTGAGTTTATTTACCCGTTTGAG